CATTACAATCTGTAAAACTTTATTTACAATATCCAAAGTATATCTAGAAGCCACTGGAGCTATATCCCAAGTAAGAGAACCTTAGTTTTTCGCAATTTTTCTGATTCACGTCAAATATTAAGACAAGTCCATGTCTATACTCAACATGATCCAATCTAACGTGATATATACATTAGATATATTTCAGATTCGTAATTTTATAATAGAAGTATAATCTATGGTATAACTTACCTATTTTGATTATCTTATGCAATATGTATTTAATAATAATGTATACAGTGTACAGTACAAATTAACAAATTAAATTTTATTTTAAACTCAAAACATCTTGCTAATTTTTTCGTCATGACAATACGCGACCACTCAATCGACTCATTATAAAATAATTAGAGGCTTCAAGTCTCTTTTTTAGTAATGATAGAGGGAAAGCTAAAATACTATACTTAAACATCTATTACTCAGAGACGGGAAACGATTTTTGTTAATATGAGAAAAGTAATTTGACGGGTTCTTTTCAGGTCACACTATCATTTTAAAAAAGAAATTTATTCACGATGTAATTTAACCTCGAATATAGCCAAAAACAGTGTTTTTTGCACTTTTAGGTTAGGATATCTCGGAAATCTGTCGTAGAGGGGAAAATTTGAGTACGGATTCGGATTCCGCGCAACAAAATCCCTTGAGGTCGTAAGGTTTCAGCAATGGGTTTGAAGTTGAGTCAAATTTTGTAGACCTGTGATATTATTATTGGGTTGATTTTGTCTAGGTTTATTTTTTTATACATTTTTGAAAGTATTGTTAAAGGATTAATCGATCATTCTGACATCAGCAGTACAATTTCTTTATCGAGCTTAGAGATTAATACGATATCTCTGCCATTTTCCATTAAGTGGGAAAATACGATAGGCGATGACATGTATAAAAAACAATTGTGAAATTTCTTAGTGCTATTGTAGGCAGTTTTTTGATTATTACTTCTGTAATGTTATCAAAACTAGGTGCCTTTATGGTTACTACTAATTTTGATTAAGGGTAATACTTCCTTTAGTTTAACTGTTTCCATTGGTGTACTGTCATGGATATGAAGGTCTTGTAAGGTAACTTTTTATTCTGTGATGATTCTTTGATTAGATTTGAATATTGTGTATAATTACTTAGTAAACGTGTCGAATTTATCTTCGTCTCATCTGGATTATTTACTACAGGATTTTCTGATTGGTGAATTAAATGTAGTTAATCTCTTTAATCTCTTGGTAATTTTCCATAATGAGAAGTTGCTTCTGCTGAATTTATTTTTCTAAACTTCTTTTCCGTTTGTGAGTTTTTTTCATGATATAGTAATTTATTAAAATCTTTAACTATTTTGTTTAATTTAGCTTTATCTTGACTGGTTTTGAGTATCTTTTCCTTAGTGATTTTTATTCTTTGATTTATTTAGCTTTTATATTGGAGGTGAATTGTTGGACTCCTTCAATATTTGCAGTTACTAAACATTTAACAAGAGCTTTATATAAATGTTTAGTTATTAGTTTAAGAACTTGATTACTGTTTTCTATGTCATTATCGGATTTAAAGAGTACTTTACATGTAAGGCATTCATTAACCTAATAAGGCCCAGGCCGAAACTGGAAGAGATAGTGTCAAACTAACTATGCGATTTAGAGGTAAATCGAAAAAAAAAAATACCCGTGTTTTTTCTTTTGCCATTTGCAATTGTTTATAAAAAGTTATTTAAACAAATTACCAAAAAAGTTATTGTTTATCAAATCTTATTGCGGAAATCGGTTCTACAGGAAAAAAACATGAAAAAAATGTATGTAACATTTTTTTGCCGGACTTCAATTTGTCATGAAAAACAGCTATTAAGCATTGAATTGATACCGACAGTCACAAGTGATTCAACCTGATGGTTGAGTTCAGTTCAGTTGGAAAAATTTTTTTTTCATTGTAAAAATTTGTAAACCGTGTTAGAGATCATGTTTGAGTGGCGGGCTAACGGTTTTACAGAAAATTTAGAAGTTTTGTTTCTTGATACGAAAATTTGATTTCTATCTGACTTACAGCGAAAATCTATAATTTCTTGTAAATTGCTGTCTATTTTTGAACCAATCAAAAATGACAAGGCGGATGGTTAAAGATTTAAACAATTTTGTTGAAGATGATGATATTGATGATTCCCGAGCTCATGTCGATATATCGTTCATTCCCGGAGATCACGAAAGCTCAGATGGGAATTCTGATTGCAACGTTGACGAAAATATATCATTTGAATTGATTCCTAATGGTTCGTATGAACATATAAAAAGCGCATACAGCAGCACTTAAGAACTATTAGAACCCAATCATGTTTACCATTGGCAAGTATTAGATTTGAATGATACCCCAACTGTGAATAACGATGATCCCTTCAACGTTCAATCAATTTCCTCTTTGTATTCTAAAAATCTTTGGAATTATTTGAAGTATATTTCTTAAATTCAATGAAAAATCATATCATAGAAGCTACAACTGAAAACAATTTTGAATTAAGTATGAATGATCTAGAAAAATTTATTTTTAGAATAATGGTTACTATTTTCAATTCGAGAAATAATCTCCGTGACTATTAGTTAACTAAAAAAATTTTACAATGTCCAGTTATTTCTGAAATTATGATAAGAAATAAATGTATTGAAATCAAGAAGAAAATAAGATTTTAGAAAATAAGTGTATTAGAAATAAGTCAATCAGATTTGGAATAAAATTATGGGCCCTTTGTTCCTCAGATGGATATTTATATGAACTGGATATTTATACAGGTAAAGTAGGACTCGACGAACGGAACCCTCTAGTTGCTGTTTGTTTGGGATCGAAAGTCGTTATCAAGTTGCTTTCGTCTTTACTACAAGTAACTAATAAAGAAGATCTTACTAAGTATTATGTGTATTTTGATAATTTTTTTCACCAATTCAGATCTTATTGATTTTATTGCTGTAGAGGTGCATGAAATGATTAATTTTTGTTTTGATGATGATCGCAGTACTTCCGACTTTAACGGATGGGTGATTTATTATTATTTATTGGAAAAAGTTTTTGCTTGTAAAATGTGTTTCTGAAATTAGTATAATGTCGATCATTACTTAAGTTAAAAATGTTCTTAATTTGAAAATCTTCTGCATAAGACCATTTGCGTTCTAGATAGTAATTATTAGTTTATGCATTGTACCATTTTATTGACTAGTATGGTTAATAAATTGAGTATTGTGTCAATTCTTTGCTTTAGTTGTTATTATGCGTTCAAGTTTATTGGTGTTTCATTCACTAGCATATTTATTTGGGTCTGTTCGTAGAGTCGTTTGTTTTGATATTTCTATCTTGCTCTCGTAATTTTATTTTAACATTATCTAGGCATAATCTTGCTCTGACCCTATTAACATTGGCATTTAAATTTTGCTAAAGTTGTGTATTGTTTTAATTGATTGTTTTATCTCGTAGATTAGAACATAACATAGGCTAACATCCAAAAAAAACTAAAGACGCGATGGATTATTTTCGAAGGTATGTGATAAGCTGAATCTGAATCTGGCTTCAAAATTGATCCATCGCTTAAGTTTTTCGAGATATCCCAATCTAAAAGTGCGAAAATCATGATTATTTTCGATATTAGAGGTCCTGTAACACCGTGAATAAATTTGTTATCTAAAAACTACTCAAAACATCGTAAAGTAGCATTTTTACCCTTTGAACCCTATTTTTTTATATTAGAGATATTTTTTTCATCAAGATATCATAGATTGATGTTAAATATTTTAGCAGTTTCGCAACAATATTGAATTCACAGTTTACAAGGATCGGGGGTTAAGGCTATTGGCGTTAAAAATTTAGAGTTAAATAGTCACAGGTTAAAGCAGTCGGGAGTTAAGCTAATTGGATTTCAAGGGTCGGAGGTTAAGGCAATCGGGATTATAAATCTGTATTATATAACTCTGATATAACTCAGAAATATTATTATTCCGAAAAATGGGTTTTAATGGGCATGAAGGTGCTTTGTCATGACTCTATTTGTTTTTATAAAAAGAGTTTATTCGTGTAGTTACATAACCTCGAACATAGTAATTTTAATAATGCATAGTGATTTTCACAGTTTTAAGTTAGGAAATTTCGAGAACCTTAGGTGATGGATCAATTTTGAAATCGGATTTCGATTCAGCACTTCGAAAACTGAAATTACGGAAATATAATACTGCGTTTTTGGGTTTCCATTTTGAAATTTCGTCGACTTGTGTAATTTTTGCTGTATCTGTTTGTGTATTGAAAATATTTTATAGTTTGATATTTTTCACATTTGCACATATAGCACTTTTATTACAATAATTTTTTGTATGCCCGAGTTCTTGACAGTTTTGAATTTGAGGAATTTCTTTTTTAACATTTGGTGGTTCGAAATTAATTTATAAATCAACATCTTCCAACATATGACCTTATATTGGAAAATCTATATTTAAACTGTAAATTGAAACAATCTATTGCAAGTCGGCATAACTTCAAGTAAAAATATATATTAAGTGATCTATATGCACGCAAATGAAAAGAAACATTGATATTAGAATTGATATATAATATATAATATTATTATTGCATGAAAAAGTGATAGTTCTTGAAATAAAGATTTACTATGTAAAATATTCGTGACAGTAAAAAAAATAATAAGTTAATGTTTTTATTTGTTAATAAATAATAAGCTTTTAAATCAAATTTCCTAAAAATAATTTGAAAAAATTTATAATTAATTTTCTAATAATCGTTTTTTAACATTTCCTCGTAGATCGATTTTATTTTAGTTGTAACTTCTCGTTTATATAAAAATGTTCTGTTTTTAAAATATACCATCATTTCATACATCACTTTAATTATAATAATGAATTTTAGTTAGATCTTTGCATTATGCAATACGAGAATGATGTTTGGAATATTATAACTAAGTTTTATATTGAACGCCATCATTGAAAAATGACACTAAATTTGAAAATTTATATAAATTTTTATTTTATCCGTTGTAATTGAAGTTTTTTTATTTTGCTAATATCAAAATTTTAGAATAGATGTAAAAGTTCTTTTTATATCAACGATTTGGATTGTTAATACATGGATCAGACTTTTTCTAATCAAGAATACAAGTTAACGGTTGGCATTTTTCAACTGATTAGAAAGCCAATCTAGTCCTTCATAAAGACCATCACCACTAGTTGCACATGTTGCTTGAATGTACCAATTACGATTACGTAACGAGTGTAGACCTAATTTATCGGTAATTTCTGCTGCATTCATGGCGTTTGGTAAATCCTGAAAAAATACAAAAAATATTAATTAGATTGTTGCACTATTTTCAAAATATTAAAAATGCCAACAAAAAGACGTCATGATATTTAAAAAAATATTCGAGTTAATAATATTTTATCAAACTTCAAAATATATTATAAATGGTTTATAGAAAAATAGGACGAAGGATTTGCAAAATCTGAGCGTATTTTGGAAGTAGTAGAAGTATCAGCTAGAACAGGGTGTTTGAATCGTGTTCTTTGGAAAATCATTACCGGAAAGTTTATATCACGTACGAAATCTCGATATTGTGGTTATTATAAGTTTCAGTGAAATATAAATGTTTTATGTCAAACGTTATTGACTAATTTTAACGTTGCGCCTACAATTCTATGAACCGCTTCAGAAAAAAAATTATAACGGTGCAAAACATTCAGTTAGAATAAATTTGAGTTACTATTGCAATACCATTATTTTTACAAAATGGAAGTCAATATAATCGATTGTAAACCGTTGATATAGATTATGTATCTATACAAAAATAAGATATACAATGAAATAATAAAATAAACCCATATAATAACCAAAGAATTTGGATATAAACAATTTGATTTGATAATTAGTTCTATTTATTTTCTGTTCATCTCATACTTTAAGTAATTAAATTCATCAGTATTAGTTGCAGTATCAGTATGATTCGTGTCGTTATGACTTTCAAATTTATTATTTTTGTAGCTGCAGTTTGTACATTTCACATTTTCACCATTACATACTTTTCTGAGCATTATCCGGCGCATTTTAAACATATAGGGTCATTAAAGTATATAGTGTCGCTATATTTTATCCTTCAACATTTGAAATATAGTGTAACATTCAAAACTATCTTATATTTTATAACAAAGAGGACCTATGTATAATTCATTTTTATTTTACCTAATGTTATTGTAAGTGGAAAGAGATACAGAAATGATTGCGTTTCATATTTCTTATTTTCCAATCTTATAAGTATGCATTACATTGTAGTGAAACTCACAATCCTTGAAACTTATTCAGTCTTTATTGTTTTGTAGTTCCTCCATTGACATTGCATCAAATTACTTATCTGTTTGATAATGTAGTTAAGTTTAAACTTTTATAAACGATGTCCTTTGTACAATTTTTTAGATTCAGAATTAAATTCATGAGCCTTTATAATCGAAACAATAATGTCATTTACGAATAACATTTTTGTATTGCATTCTTGTGGTTCTTTTTAACTGTAACTTTACTTGAATAATTATAGACGGATTGTATTTGATAATATCTACATTAAAGTTTGTTACATCAGAATTTCTCTGACGAAAATATTTTTTCTTTTATAGCTCGCAAATCAGTTGTCAGATAAGATATATTTCTACTTTTATTATTGTAACATAATTTTGATCTTCGCAATAATTATTAAGCTACTTATTTCGATATCACCTAAAATATGTTGCAAGATATTGCTAAGAATTTCTTGGTGTACTTCTCCCTTAATATTATTTATAACTCCCGTATAATACTGACTTATGATGCATGTTTTTAGAAATTAGGTATAAATTTATTTTTATTTTAGTGTCAAGTTATTGGGATGGTTTTGATAATAAATGTGATTCGTTATTATCCGTCTGTTTCGTCTAGAATATTATAACGGGGTTTTAGCCCGGTTTACCCCGTCAATATAAAAAAAGTAATAAATGGGGAATGATCGAACAAACGAAGTCTGAAGCTTCCTGAACTTAGTCGTCCTCCCAGGTCCGGTGCTCGTCACGCCGGTGACAGGACGGCAGGATCAGCGCAGATTCGTAGTGTTGGCTAAGGAACGCGAAAGTCGGAAATTCAAAAGCGGTTGTCAGCGCGAAAAGGTAGGACGTTAGAAGAAAACAGTGGGATACGATTAAGTTAAAACGTTTACAAAGAAAAATATCTTTAATCAATAAAGAGTTAACACAGGCGGTCGGAAGGAGGGAGAGAGCACGCTGAGTGAACGGATATATATATATAGAGAGAGAGTAAACCATCAAACCGGTACTTACAATACAGGTGCCTGAAATCTAGGTATGTCAACGACTTATACAGTTTGCGTTGACGCGTACGCACGAACAATCGAACACCACGTGCACTATACAGCTCGGTCTCCCTTTTGATGTGCTTAGCACAACGATGCTGCGCACGACCGGCTGCAGCTCACGTGTTCAAATCGTCCGCAGAACCAAGCGACGTCGCAATTCCTCCCTGAATATAGACACACACTCCAAGGGTGAAGAAAAAGGGACGGCAGGCCACAGTCAAGATTCAAGGAAAGAAGGCAGTTGGAACAAAAGACTTTGTCTGCTCACTCACGTGTCTAGACAGCTACTGCTCGCGCCGCGCGCTCAACTACTCGATTTCGTCTTAATGAGCCAATCGGTGCGCGCGGTAACTCGCTAAGGCGCGACTAGGTTTCTCTCTCTCTCTCTCTCTCTCTCTCCGTGCTTTGCTGTCGCGCACGGAAGTATCCCTGCGTACTCGCATCTCTCTCTCATCTCACTTAACTTATATCAGAATAGAAGTGTAATTACATATGTAAATATATATAATAAATGAATATAAATATAATAAATTTATAAATACATAGAATAGGTTCGGAGAAATATGTTACATTTACTTATCGTTACTACGGAGAGAGAGAGATATAACGAGTCAGCAATTTCACTCGTTATATCCCCCCGGCCCAGACGCTGAGTACGAATGTACCAGCTCGAAAGGATGACTCCCTCTCTCTCAGTAATAAAGGAAAGCCGAAACTTATCATAAGAATTTATTGTTATTGTCAACGAACAGAAAAATTGCTACAAGAAAAAATAAACAAAAAACATAGTATAGGCGCCTGTACAAACATGTCGTGTAACTAAGGTTTGGCGGACAATCTTCCCGCGATGCAGATGCGTTGATGCAGGTGAACACGGTGGATCCTGCTAGTTATTGTAGGAGTATGGGATCAAGAGTCCCTGGGCCCACTTCCACTAATGGATGTAGTTGGGGCATTCCCTTCCCCTGGACACTCCTGTGAAACTACAGTATAGGCAGCTTCGGATTAGCCGAAGGTCCAGATGGGGGCTATCCCATTTGCCACACGGGCGGGTAGCAGCCGCTCTCTGCCTCGCATGGTGACCTGACTCGTTCCTTACCCTGTTAGATGTGTGCGGGTTGGGAATAAGAAGAGGACGACTGGCATTCTCCTCTTCTAAAGCCGCCAGCTGGGCCCGCAGGGCACTCTTTGGCTAGCTCCACTGCTTGGGCACCCGAATGACCGGCAAAATCGAGGATAGCCTGGTAGGCCTCCTGCTCCTACTTGGTAGCTTCGATACGGAGCTGCCTAGCTATTTTGGCTCGAGCCAAGATTCTGTTCCACTCAGCAGACAAATCTTTGCCGCCTTGGGCCATCGTTGGTCCGGATAATGGACACGGGACTACCTCGTCCTCAAAGACTGCCCTGGTAGCTGTTGGAGAGGCCTGAACATGTGTTAGCGCAGGTGGATCTATTGGACCGGGCAGCAGAATTGGTGCTAGCCTGCGTAGATGCTGTTCGGTAAGCTGGTCTTCCCGGTACCATGATCGAACCGACTGCTTCGGGGATGTGCGATGACGCCTCTGATGACGAGCCAATAGCCGGTAGGCTGGGGGTACTTGGTAACCGTGCCAGGTCAGCAGTGGCTGGGGTAACCAAGCCCACTAAGGTAGGTGAAGCTCCCGCTGCCAGTAATTTATGTGTCAACCGCGCAATCCCCTCAATCAGCTCCTGGGACACCTACAGCTGTCGGTCCGCCGATATTATCTGTAATGAAGTCAGATACAATCAGGCAAGATTTCAGGCGCTAATAGGAAGGAGGAGAGAAGGAATTAAGAAGTCGATTTCCTTCCGGGGTTTCTAGGGCGCAGACGTCGATGGGAGGCGGCCACTGGGATCAACGGAGGTTTCTTCGATCCCCGAGAGCGTCCTCTCCTCTTGGGTACTACGGTTGGCGCATGTTCCGTTTTGGCGATCACCTCTCGACCTACTTCTGCCATATCATTCCGCGTATCGCTACCGACCGGCCTAATTGAGGTTGAGCTTCGTCCGGCTCGTCGCTGAGCTCGTCATCAATACTTTCCTTGTCATCGGGGAGTTGTGCTTGGTCGAAGCAGGGCTTCAGACCTTCTAAGGCAACTTTACCGAAGTCTGTACCATCCTCATCCCTGAGCTGGTAGAAACTTGGATCGTTCTGACGCGCTATCACAAAAGGATCGCAGTATTTCGGACCTAACTTGGCTGCGATGGCCTTGGCTGACGACGACAGTAAGTGATTCTTCGCCCACACTTTGTCACCTACGTTGAAAGTCACACCGTGGTGTTTCCTGATATAATAGATCTCTTGGCGATCTTGTGAGGCTCTCGAGTTCTGTGATGCCTTCGCTCCGTATTCCTCGAGCTTTTCCATGCGTGAGCGCCAGTCGTCTAGGGCTTCTCCTTGAAGCTCGTCAACCGCTTTCCTTTCCTCGTCCCTCTTCGTGGAATTAGGTAACTAGGATTCCTCCCATAATTCAGGAATGCGGGGCTAGAGCGAGTAGTTTCTTGTACAGCGGTGTTATATGCGAAGGCGAACTCTGCCTTATCCTACGTATTGTAACGCTCTTCAGTGAATGCAGAAATCATGGTCTTAATAGTCCTGTTAGCTCTTTTCGTGGAATTGGACTTCGGGGAATAGGGTGCGCATGTCACATGAATCACTCTCTTGGCCTCAAAGAAGCTATCCACAAGCTTATTTTTAAACGGTGTCCCATTATCCAACTGGAATTTGTCAGGAACACCATACCGGAGAAATATGCGCTCGTTGAGCTCCCGTTTAATAATCTTCTTATTGGTCTTCCTAATCGGAATGCAGTCGATCCATTGAGTGAAAAGGTCTACAAACACGAGTAGATATTCGTGGCCCTGGGCCCTGTAGCGATACAGGAAACGGCCCCACTGTATCTCCTTAGACTAT